GATCAATGGGTCGTAGTCCGTTGTTGTTTCTCATCGTTACATCCGCTCCGTATGCCAGCAGGAGGAGTATCAGGGGCACGTCCTGTCTCCTGGCAGCCTCATGGAGAGGAGTGTTAAGGCTCTTAATGGAATTCACACAGGCGCCTAAATATAGAAACAGTGTTAAGACTCTTAATGGAATTCACACAGGCCCCTAAATATAGTAACAGTCTTAAGACTCTTAATGGAATTCACACAAACTTCTTAATATAGTTACAGTGTTAAGGCTCTAAATGGATTTCACATATGCTCCTAAATATACAGTCCAGTCCAATACGAAAAATCGTAATATTACTACAATTCGTAATAAAAGCAATTTCTAACCCTTCTAAGAGTTACTTCCCTTTTTTCTGATACAACCTGCTTGTTATGTTTCATGAGAGATTATACGTCTCTGGTTTCATCAAATCATCGTGGATATGCATGCTTTTTCTTTGTTTTGATGCATTTGATCCAAGTGCATGCAGAGTCAGAGCCTAGTGAAAGTTGTACAAGTTATATCCCGTAACATCTCGTTGTTGGAGATGAGAGTCTGATTTTTAGGGTAGACTTCGGGAAAAATATAGGGAATTCGGGGACTATAGAACACTATGACAAGTTTTAGGATACATTGAAGTTTTATGGAAAATTGTTCCCATCCCTGGGAAAATTCTTATATAAGAATAATAATACAAAATTTTCACTCACCCATTACTATTGTTACTTTCTTCTTGCATTTTCATACTTTTCGATAGACGTCACTGACCAAAATGACCACGTGATACTGGTACCATTGGGGCATAATGTATTTCTGACGTCATACTTTCCTTAACATCATTCAGTTTTTTTCAATGCTTTATTTGTCTTACATTACGAAAACTCGTAATATAGTCTCTCACAACATGCTATATTACGAGTTTTCGTAATTTAACTATATTACGAAAAATAGTAATATAAGAATAATATTACGATATTCTGTAATATTACGATTTTTCGTATTGGACTGGACTGATATAGTAATAGTGTTAAGGCTCTTAATGGAATTCACACAGGCCCCTAGATATAGTAACAGTGTTAAGACTCTTAATGGCATTTACACAGGCTCCTAAATATAGTAACAGTGTTAAGACTCTTAATGGCATCTACACAGGCTCCTAAATATAGTAACAGTGTTAAGACTCTTAATGGAATTCATACATGCTCCTAAATATAGTAACAGTGTTAAGGCTCTAAATGGAATTCACACAGGTGCCTAAATAAAGTAACAGTGTTAAGACTCTTAATGGAATTCAGACAGGCTCCTTAATATAGTAATATTTACATCCAATGAATATTTTCTCCTTTTCTCAAGAAAACCCATTGCGTTAATCACTGCATGAACTGCATAGGCAGGTCGCCTTATACAGATTTCTTAATCAGTGGCTGTTCCGTCAATGAAATGTATAAAGACGTTCGCATCATTAATATAATAATTAAACTTTTTAATCCTTCTTTAAATGATGATTTAAACAGATATAAATATGACAATAAAATGTCTTCCTTTCTTTGTTATTACTGAAATTAACGGTCGCAGCTATTGCAAAAAAAATTTACATAACCCGCTTACGCGGGTTATATTATGTATTTTTTCTGCAACAGCTGCCTCCGTTAATTCCAGTAATAACAACCAAAGAAAGCATTTTATTGTTTAAACAATGTTAAGGCTCTTAATGGAATTCACACACACTCAGAAATATAGTATCAGTGTTAAGGCTCTAAATGGAATTCACACAGGTGCCTAAATATAGTAGCAATGTTAATGGCCTTAATGGAATACACACAGGCACCAAAGTATAGAAACAGTGTTATGGTTCTTAATGGAATTCACACACACTTATAAATATAGTAACAGTATTAAGGCTCTTAATGGAATTAACACAGGTGCCTAAATAAAGCAACAGTGTTAAGACTCTTAATGGAATTCACACAGGTTCCTAAATATAAAACTATCAGATCAGTTTGTTTTAAAAATTTGATTAATACCAGCCCCCCTCCCCTCCTTTTTCTATAGTTGACAATAGGAGAAGGGAACTAGTTATAATCAAACTGACTACTTTTAAAAACTTAATTCTTGAGTACAGCATGTAAAGGAAAAAATGTTGCTGACCTGCTCGAAGCAAAGCTTGTGCACATGTCAGACTGCCTTGACAGGCTGCTACATGGAGAGGAGTTCCGAAGTGACAGTCCGAGGAGTTCAGATTAGCTCCAGCTGCCGACAATACCTCCACTGTTTCCCATTTATCTTAACATTCAATAAAAAAGTGAAACACAATTTCGGAAAATAATGAATTTTTTTCCAGAAACATAGAAAATAATGCTTGTCAAATAATCAGAAGATGCACAGAAAATCTGTGGTAAATTTGATTTGAAATCATTTTCTGTCAATTGTGCCTGCAAATAAGCAATTCATATAATATATAACAGAGTTGTTTTGATGAGTGGTGTACATGTGTAGGCTACCTCTTAAAGTTGCTTCATGCAAAGGAGAAGTTAACAGAAGAGGAGGGTTAACATATGCCCCCCGTTGTAGTAGAATCCTGACGATGTCTACATGTCCACTGCTGGCAGCATCACACAGAGGGGTAGCTCCATCAATGTTCCTCACATTCACCTGAAAAGTCAAACACATGTTAGAACCTGCCAGGTAATATTTACCTTGAAAGCCATACACCTGCCAACGGTGTTTACAAATCCTATTTTTTTCAACACTCAAGTTCACATTCTGAGTATTATCAATTTTTAAACTGTGTCAGGCTATTGATAGACAAGTTGATATCACAGGGGTTTCAACAATTTTATTCAAGCCAGCACTGTGATATATATGCAAAAAGAAATCTTTTCCTTTCTTTCAATGCCCTTGAAGGACATTCATTATTGAGACTTTTTTTTTTACCTCTGCGTCATTGTCCAGAAGAATTTTCACACATTCGATATGGCCTCTGAAGCAGGCCTCGTGTAGCGGTCTGACCAGGTCCACGCCTTCACTGTTGACGCTGTGGCCCGCCTGTATCAGCTGTAGGAGTCTGTCTGTGTTGTTTGTCTGTACGGCTGTATGTAGCTCTGGAGTCCTTCCATCAAACATGCCATCCATTCTCAGTTAGTAAGCTTTGGTCAGTATCCCTTCATGTCAAGCATCCCCCTGTGGAAAAGGGTGCGTACATTGTCATATGGCATTCAAGTTACAATGTATGATTATGATCTCGAATCATCAACAGACAACCAGCAGACAGTCTATAGTATAATGCCCACCTTTTGCTTTCTTACCTCTTTGTTTTGGAGAATGGAGCATATTAATGAAATTTTTATGAGCTTAAAATAACTTCACTAACTTACTGACTAACCTATGTTGTTATGAAAATTTGTTAAAATATAAAACCGGATAATAACAACTTCTAAATAAATCAGAAAATATTCACGAAGCGTTATATTTTTCCGAACAGGTCAATTTAGGCCATGAATGTACATTGATTATGATTCTTCAAAATATTTACAAATCTGGTTATCACACTATACATCAAAATTTCTTTAAGCTACAGACTGTATATATAAAATCTCGACAAATTGTTACACATTTTATAAAAAAAATATAAATCTTTTAAAATATTCACAAAATCCAGGCGTAGAATATTCATAATTTAATCTTTTAAAACAAATAACTGTCTGGAAGGAAAACACATAAAAACTAAAGCTGTAATGCATAAAATTCTAGAAACTGACTGCCAAATCTCTGGAATCTATATATCTGTGCTGCAGTGCAGAAGTTGTTCTATAGATCTCTCCTAACATGTATATGCAACTCTCCACAAACTATATATATATACAGTGTACAATAGTTATAACAAAATCTGTAGAAATAAAAAATGGAGATATCAAAAAGTGTTCAAGGAAAAAAATCCATCCATGCAATATAAATAAGGAGCATAGAAAACACGTCCCTTTTAAACATCAGAGGTGGGATCAGGTGTCATGGAGGAGTGAGCATCCCCTGTCTACCGGTCACACCCACCGTATGCTCCTTGTCTTGATCGGATAAAAGGGAAAATCAGTAAAACTCCCAGTGTGTAAAAAATGGTATATAGCTATTAATTTGTGTGATTAAGGTCATTCAGAATTTGATAATTGTATTTACTTGACAAGGTCACAGTCATTGTATCGACCATAGAACCTGCGAAATATTGGCTTTACTAATTTTTGTTGGACAAACTTAACTCTCAAGAGCTTGATAATTGTTTTAAATATGGTACGTACACAGAGCATGCACTTGTATATATATGGGCAGCGGAAAGGGCAAAAATTACCATAATGAGAAAACAAACAATTAAATTTTAATTTCAATGACCATAAAAACTTAACAAATGATATAAAATGCATAATCAACAGACGTTTTCACAGAACAAATATACATTAAAGCAAAATCAACGACCACGTACGTAACAAACATATATGAATGCAAAACCAACAATCATCTTTACAGTACAAACGTACATAAAAGCACGACAAGCGAAAAAAATTTAACAAACGTGCACGCGGTAAATCGAGTCTCACCGGCTCCCGACGGTCCCGGTTTTTGTTTTTTGTTTTTTTTTCTTGGCGATTTTCTTTCTGTCGGTGCATAGAAACTTTTCACACTTCTCAGGCACATTTCTATGTTTTAAAAAATTCATTAAATTTAATATAAAAAAACTTTTAACAAAGGGTCGGCAATATCATCTGCCAAAACGCGGTAAATCTAGTACTCAGCTATAAATGCAAAAACCTCTGAAAAAAGGATACCGATGTTTTCGTAGAATCGCGGTTAAAAACAACAAACTGAGATATATATTTTTTTAAATAAATGAAAACCCTTTTTTGAAATCAAATCATTTTGATATTTTGCATTTTTAATTCTTATAGAATTTAAATGTTTATTTTTTTTTATTAACACCACCAATTTTCACTGAAATACTAATTCCATCTTTTTGAGAAGAAATATCGTCTCAATATCAACATTTTTAATATCTTTTAAGATAGATGGACACAGAAGATTTAAAGTTAAATTTTTTATTTCAGGCAAAAAAAAAAACATTAACTCGCCCAAACGTGAAAAACCTATTTCGTGGGGGAGGGGGGGGGGGGTTAGTCTATGACTTCTATTGCCTGAAATCTTTCACTTTTCATACCCATTTCACACATGTTCATGTTCACCAGGGGGGACAGCGTTTTCCAACGGGGGGTCCAAGGTAACTTCTTTCTTGCTTTAGTATATATTTTTTTAAACGTGTAAATTCCAAAATTCCAAGGTGGGGTGACCCCAACGACCCCCCCCCCCTCTGGATCCGCGCATGTATTTCATCTTAAAATTAATGAAACAAGATTTCCACTTTTCCCAAGTATTAAGAATAAAATTAAAATTTGTGAGAGTGCAAGGATGTGTCGATCAAACCCGTCTAAAAGTTTGAAGTTTCAATAACCTTTAGCTGAAATAAGATTTTTATTAAATGACTTAATGTTTGTGTGAAATGCTATTAAAATATATAAGTCGCATTATTATACAGAAAATATTAATTTCAAATCTGTGTCCATGCACCTTTACTATCTACGACACCGTGCGTCTCTCTGTATCGATGTCCGTTTTTGGTTTTCACATTTATAACGGAGTACTACATTTAACGCTTTTTTGGAAGGTGCTGCTGCTGATTCAGTAATAAATACGCAAATTTGTCGAAGTTTTTACATATTATTGAATTCATTTAGAAAAGAAATGTGCATGAGAAGTTTGAAGAATTTCTGTGCACCGACAATGTAAAGAAATCGAAAAAAAAAAAACGGGACCTTCGGAAGCCGGGAGTCGGGAAGACTAGATTTACCGCGTGCACGTTTGTTAATTTTTTTTCGCTTGTCGTGTTTTTACGTACGTTTATACTGTAAAGATGACTGGTGGTTTTGCATTCACATATGTTTGTTACGTACGTGGTCGTTGGTTTTGCTTTAATGTATATTTGTTCTGCAAAAACTTCTGTTGATTATGCATTGTATCATTTGTTAAGTTTTTATGGTTATTGAAATTAAAATATTTGTTTGTTTTCTCATTATGGTAATTTTTGCCCTTTCCGCTGCCCATATATATATATATCGAATCAACTGAGACAACCCATATAACAGTGAAAAGGGGTATATTGCTACATATGTAAGGGAAGTTAACGATTGAAAAGATTTTATATTTTTATAAAGCTTTAATTGTTACTTAAGCCATAAAGGTCATTTTCCAGTAAAATATCAAATAAAACAGATAGGTGTAGAAACTTTACAAAAATCTCTAAAAGCTCTACAGGGATTTTAAAATCATTTTTTAAACTAAAGTTCTACAATATCAAAATATACGACTTTTCAAAAATTTATACAACCATTTCAGATCTATGATGATTTGAAGGCTAGAGTCAGCTGCCGTTTCAATAAAATTTTATATTCTAGACAAGAGTTGTAAAAAACATTTAATGTTTACATTTTAGGAAGTTCAAGGATGTGTGGACTACGTATAATAAATTAAAAACGGTTACTCCCCTTCTTATATCCACTGGAGAACTGAAAATATATTAAAGATATACCACAGAGTCTGACCTATATGTTTCGTATTTGGATATTTTACTATAGAAAAAGACTTTGAATAAATTATGATAAAAGTTATGTCATTTTGCCTATTTTAAGATCGATATGTACACTGAACTTTGTCAGCAAAAACAATCTTCAGATCTTAGCATCATTAGATCCAGGGATCTCCATATATATACTATTCGAATGCTGATTGACATTATTCATTTTACATGTAATAGTTAAACCATTACTTATAAATACACAGTTGTTTAAGGATTTTCCCGTTTGCCCCATCAGGACAACAAGCACACGGTGGGTGTGAGCACCTGATCCAACCGCTGATGTTTTAGAGGTCCGTGCTTGCTCAGCTTCTGATGTTTTAGAGGTCCGTGTTTGCTCTGATTCTGATGTTTTAGAGGTCCATGTTTGCTATGCTTCTGATGTTTTAGAGGTCCGTGTTTGCTCTGCTTCTGATGTTTTAGAGGTCCGTGTTTGCTCTGCTTCTGATGTTTTAGAGGTCCATGTTTGCTCTACTTCTGATGTTTTAGAGGTCCGTGTTTGCTCAGCTCTGATGTATTAGAGGACCATGTTTGCTCTGATTCTGATGTTTTAGAGATCCGTGTTTGCTCTGCTTCTGATGTTTTAGAGGTCCGTGTTTGCTCTGCTTCTGATGTATTAGAGGACCATGTTTGCTCTGATTCTGATGTTTTAGAGGTCCGTGTTTGCTCTGATTCTGATGTTTTAGAGGTCCATGTTTGCTATGCTTCTGATGTTTTAGAGGTTCATGTTTGCTCTGCTTCTGATGTATTAGAGGTTCATGTTTGCTCTGCTTCTGATGTTTTAGAGGTCCGTGTTTGCTCTGCTTCTGATGTATTAGAGGACCATGTTTGCTCTGATTCTGATGTTTTAGAGGTCCGTGTTTGCTCTGATTCTGATGTTTTAGAGGTCCATATTTGCTCTGATTCTGATGTTTTAGAGGTCCGTGTTTGCTCTGATTCTGATGTTTTAGAGGTCCATGTTTGCTCTGATTCTGATGTTTTAGAGGTCCGTGCTTGCTCTTCTTCTGATGTTTTAGAGGTCCATGTTTGCTCTGATTCTGATGTTTTAGAGGTCCATGTTTGCTATGCTTCTGATGTTTTAGAGGTTCATGTTTGCTCTGCTTCTGATGTTTTAGAGGTCCATGTTTGCTATGCTTCTGATGTTTTAGAGGTCCATGTTTGCTCTACTTCTGATGCTTTAGAGGTACGTGTTTCCTCTGCTTCTGATGTTTTAGAGGTCCATGTTTGCTCTGCTTCTGAGCATTAGAGGTCCATGTTTGCTCTGATTCTGATGTTTTAGAGGTCCATCAGGACAACAAGCACACGGTGGGTGTGAGCACCTGATCCAACCGCTGATGTTTTAGAGGTCCGTGCTTGCTCAGCTTCTGATGTTTTAGAGGTCCGTGTTTGCTCTTCTTCTGATGTTTTAGAGGTCCGTGTTTGCTCTGATTCTGATGTTTTAGAGGTCCGTGCTTGCTCAGCTTCTGATGTTTTAGAGGTCCGTGTTTGCTCTGATTCTGATGTTTTAGAGGTCCATGTTTGCTATGCTTCTGATGTTTTAGAGGTCCATGTTTGCTCTACTTCTGATGCTTTAGAGGTACGTGTTTCCTCTGCTTCTGATGTTTTAGAGGTCCA